AAAAAAGTATATAATTATATTTCGTTGAATGGGACGGTAGACATGATTTTTTTGGGAGTGGGGAGTGGGGGGTGGGGGTGTGGTGTGTGTGGGCAGGGGGTGGGGTGGGGTGGTTTCCTCATCGATACTCTATAATAAAATTACCGCCTAATTAATGTGTCTAATCTAAAAAGTTGTTTTCTCGCAATTTCTTTAATGCAATTCTTCGCGTAGTGGCTAAGCGCGACACCAGTGTTTCTTTCAGACTTTTTCCTCCCCGGAGAGGGGTGGGGGTACTTGAAATTTTCATTTGTCATACATGCACAGATACTTTTGTAAATCTACTGTGTATACTTATAATTGTTCAATTACCTGTATAAAATGGCCATTTATAATATGAATTCGTCTTGCTGCCAACATATCAAGGTTTCAATCAACCTAAAAATATAATAAATTATATGAATTATATAGTTAGGGTCAGCTATATATGAATATACATAAAGAATTTATATATATATATATATATATATATATATATTATATATATATATATATATATATATATATATATATATATATATATATATATATGTATGTATATATATGTATATATTTGTATATATGTATATATGTATATATGTATGTATATAAGTATATTTGTATATATGTATATTTGTATATATGTATATTTGTATATATGTATATTTGTATATATGTATATTTGTATATATATATATGTATGTATATATGTATATATATATGATATACAAATATACATATATACAAATATACATATATACAAATATACATATATACATACATATATACATATATACAAATATATACATATATATACATACATATATATATATATACATATATATATATAAATATATATAAATATATATATGTATACATATGTATATATCTGTATATCTGTATATCTGTATATATGTATATATGTATATATATATATATATATATATCGATGGTCTCGGTCGCAAACCGTCTAACTCAAAAAAATTCGATTTTCTTTTTTTTACATAAATCAAAAGCCAATATGATTCCCCATAATGCCTGAAAATATTAGAGAAATCTGTAGAATGATTATTGAGATATAATCATTTGAACAAACCACCTATTATTTCTAGCGCTAAAAATCTCGGCGCAAAACGAATATCGCTATATTTGTCAGTACACTTTTGATCGGGAACGCAGTCGCACGCCGAAATCACACAATTTTACAGCACAGCAGTCACAGTACTTATAGGTAAGGATATTTGATTGATTATGTTCAACTATTCTATTACATTTTATCATTTTAAAGAATAATAAACTAATCGTATTTGTTTAATATAGCAGATTTCCAGATTTTCAATAACCAAACTGATTTGTTTACATTTTTTTAGGCTAACACAATGCTTTGAAACTAGATCTTCATTCTAGAATCTAAATATCAATCAAAACAATATAATTCGAATTATATTTCCACAAAAATGTGCAATAAATTTAATAATTGTTAATTCACTACTAGCTTGATGATTAAGATACGTGTTAAGAAATGTTTATATGGTAGGTTACAAAATGTTTGGCGTACAGGATCAACGACATGGTTAGTTGTTTTTAGTAGATGCTTTTATGATTAATTTTTCAACAGACAAGCCCATCTCAACACACCAGCCTCTCTCAACATACCAGCCTCTCTTAACATACCAGCCTCTCTCAGCATACCAGCCTCTCTCAACAGACCAGCCTCTCAACATATCAGCCTCTCTCAACAGACCAGACTTACCACATAACAGACCAGCCTCTCAACATATCAGCCTCTCTCAACAGACCAGCCTCTCTCAACAAACCGGACTTACCACATAACAGACCAGCCTCTCTCAACATACCAGCCTCTCTTAACATACCAGCCTCTCTCAGCATACCAGCCTCTCTCAACAGACCAGCCTCTCAACATATCAGCCTCTCTCAACAGACCAGACTTACCACATAACAGACCAGCCTCTCAACATATCAGCCTCTCTCAACAGACCAGCCTCTCTCAACAAACCGGACTTACCACATAACAGACCAGCCTCTCTCAACAGACCAGCCTCTCTCAACACACCAGTCTTACCACATAACAGACCAGCCTCTCAACATAGCAGCCTCTCTCAACAGACCAGCCTCTCTTAACAGACCAGCCTCTTTCAAAAGACCAGCCTCTCTTAACAGATCAGCCTCTCTTAACAGACCAGCCTCTCTCAACATACCAGCCTCAATTGACAAACCAGCCTCTCTCAACAGACCAGCCTCTCGACATACCAGCCTCTCTCAAAAGACTAGCCTCTCTCAACATATCAGCCTCTCTCAACAGACCAGCCTCTCTCAACAGACCAGCCTCTCTCAACATACCAGCCTCACTCGACAGACCAGCCTCTCGACATACCAGCCTCTCTCAACAGATTAGCCTCTCTCAAAAGACTAGCCTCTCTCAACATATCAGTCTCTCTCAACAGACCAGCTTCTCTCAACA